TTGAGGATTTTTGCATCAATGTTCATGAGGGTTATTGGTGTGTAATTTTCTTTTTTTGTGGTGTCTTTGCCTGGTTTTGGTATCAGGGTTATGCTAGCTTCATAGAATGAGTTTGGGAGTATTCCATCATTTTCTATGCTCTGAAATACCTTTAGTAGTAATGGTGTTAACTCTTCTCTGAAAGTTTGGTAGAATTCTCCAGTGAAGCCATCCAGGCAAGGGCTTTTTTTGTTGTTGTTGTTGAGAGTTTTTTAATTACCTTTTCAATCTCTTCCTTTGTTGTAGGTTTATTTAGTTGTTCTACCTCTGTTAGTGTTAGTTAGGTAGGTATTGATTTTCTAGAAATTTGTCCATTTCCTCTCGGTTTTCAAATTTGTTAGAGGACAATTTTTCATAGTATTCTGTTATAATTCTTTTAATTTCAGTTGGATCTGTTGTGATATCACCCATCTCGTTTCTTCTATGGGTTATCTGCTTCCTCTCCTGTTTTTCTTTTGTCAGTTTGGCCAATGGTTTATCAATTTTGTTGATCTTTTCAAAGTACCAGCTTTTGGTCTTATTAACTCTTTCAATTGTTTTTCTAGTCTCTATTTCATTTAATTCTGCTCTAGTTCTTATTATTTCCTTTCTTCTGGCACCTGAGGTCTTTTTTTTACTGCTCTCTTTCTACTTGTTCCAGTTGTAGGGTTAATATTTTGATTATGACCCTTCTTTTTGGATGTGTGCATTTATTGCTATAAATTGATCTTTGAGCAGTGATTTTGCTGTGTCCCAGAGGTTCTGGTAGGATGTGTTTTCATTCTCCTTTGATTCTATGAATTTCTGTATTCCCTCTTGAGTTTCTTCTATTGAGCAAGGTGTTATTCAGTTTCCATGTGTTTGGTTTTCTTTTTCCTTGTTTTTTGTGTTGTTGATTTCTACTTTTATGGCTTTATGGTCAGGAAAGATGCTTTGTAATATTTTGATGCTTTGGATTTTGTTAAGACTTGCTTTATGACCTAATATGTGGTCTATTGTGGGGGATGTTCCAAGTACATTGTGAAAGAAATTATACCTGTGTGCTGTTGAGTGGAGTGTTTGGTATATGTATATGAGATCAAGTTGGTTGATTGTAGCAGTTAGCTCTTCCGTGTCTTTGTTGAGCTTCTTTCTGGATGTTCTATCCTTCACCGAAAGTGGTGTGTTGAAGTCTCCTACTACTATTGTGGAGCTGCCTATCTCTATTTTCAGTGCTATTAGAATTTGTTTTATGTATTTTGGGTACCTGTTGTTGGGTGATTAAATATTTATTATAGTTATGTCTTCCTGGTGTATTGATCCTTTAATCATTATATAGTGTCCTTCCTTAGCCTTTTTGGTGGATTTTACTTTAAAGTCTATTTTGTGAGAGATTAGTATTGCCACTCCTGCTCTTTTTTGAGTGTTGTTTGCTTGATATATTTTTTTCCATCCTTTGAGATTTAGTTTGTTTGTGTCTTTAAGTCTAAGGTGTGTCTCTTGTAGGCAGTATACAGACAGAACAGTATACAATCTGCCACTCTCTGTCTCTTCATTGGTGCATTTAGTCCATTTACATTCAGGGTAATTATTGATAGGTATGCGTTTAGTGCTGTCATTTTGATGTCTTTTTTTGTGTATTGTTCACAGTTTCTTTGTTCCCCTTAATTTTCTGTGCTGAGTTATTTTTCTTTATGTATTTTCTTCTCATCTTTTTCATTGTTGTTGATTTTGTGTTTGCTGAGATTTTATATTTTTCTAGTTTTTTATTTTGACCCATAAGATTGTTAGTTTCCTTTGTGGTTACCTTAATATTTACTCCTAGTTTTCTAAGTTTATACTAGTCTTTTATTTCTTTGTATTGCCTTGACTTCCACTCTATATGAAAAATCTATGTCTACATTTTTTAAGTCCTATTTTTTGGGTTGTAATGTTGTCACCTTTTGCATATTGATATCTCTGTTTTTCAATTTTCAATGTTTTAGCTTTGATGTATTTTTGTGACTTCCCTATCTAAGTCGATATCTGGTTCCTCTGTCCTGTATTCGTCCGTCTTGGGTATAATCTGTATTCCTCTGTCCTTGTATAATCAATTCACTTGTTTTTTCAGGTCTTTGTTGTAAGAGGGACATAGGAAGCCATCTGACTACTCCACCATCTTGGCCCTGCCTCTAAACTTTGTCTTTTTGAAGACTTGTTGTTAGCTGGTTTTGAGTCAGCAGCCGACTCATGGTGACCCCATGGGCAATGGGGGCAATGGAACAAACTGCTGCTTGGTCCTCACCATCCCCATATTTGGTTGCAGACCAGACCATTGTGATCTATAGGGTTTTTGTTGACTGATTTTCAGAATTAGGTTGCCAGACTTTTATTCCTAGTCTTAGTCTGAAAGTTCCACTGATACCTGTTTAGCATTAGCAACACTTAAGCCTTCAATGATAGTTGGTTGCTGGGTATAACTGGCATTGGTTGAGAATTGAATCCAGGTCTCCTGCATGGAAGGCAAGAATTCTACCACTGAGTCACCTGTGGTTGTTGGAGAATGAGCTTCTGTAGGGCAAGGAATGGGACTGCATCTGTTGACTCTGTGTCTTCCTCATAGGAGAGGCAATTTCAGGTCTGAGCGTCCAGCGTGTTCTCAATAAGGACTGGTGTTTGATGATCTTTTCTATCTCAATGTGTAGGGAAGTTTGTCTTTGCTTCAATTCCCATGTCCATGTGAACATATTGATTATAAAGAAGCTCTTATTAATTGTGAACTTACTGTGTACCAGGCCCAATGTTAAGCTTCAGTCTCCCATGATGTAAATAAAATGAGTTTACTTATTTTACGGGTAAAGAGACTGAGGCTTTATAGTGTTAAATAACTTGCTTAAAGTAGAACAGCTATTAGGTAGTAGAGTTAAAATTCATGCTCAGATCAACCTAATTTCAAAGCCCCTGAGCTGAAACTTTATGCTATATATACATATGTCTCTCTCAACTTATTGTCAATGCTTTATTTTCTCCAACATACAGGTATGAACATGAATGACCTATATCTAATTATTCTTAGATCTCTTCTGTAACATCTCAGAGATTTTTATACTCTAATCTGTGTCTTTACAACAGTGGACGCCATTCTCTTCCTCAATTCCATTCGCTCTTCTCTCTTTAGCTTCTGGAGCAAGATACTTTTCTCTGACTGGTAAAGGGATTATTCTATACATAAAACTGTAATAAATAATTCATATGTCTCCTGTAACTTTTTTGTTTTTCCTCCGAATTTTAACTAAAGTGTCCTCTTACGTGCTGAGACTTCTCAGTAGTTCCTTAACCAAGAATATGGCTTGGGATCCTGAGGGCCATCAGATGTGAGATAAGAATGAGGAAGAATAAATCCTGTGACTGCGCTCATCACCCTGGTATGCTGGCCACTCTGCCCTCAACCGTACACTGGCAATGACAACACTCACTGATCCGGAGAGAGGGAGGGGGAGAGGGAGACCTAGCAGCATGAGTCACTGGGTGTTGCTGGCATTGCTATAAAGGTCCCAGGATCTCTGTTGGGTACACATATTTAGACAGGGTGAAGAGTGAGCATTTGCAATGCTGCTTGCCGTCTTAAAATTTACACTCTTTCTGCCCTGGTGCCTTGCTCTCCCAGTGCCTCCAACTACAGACCTTAAAGGATGGGACTTTGTTAAGGTAGGTGTGCTCATCAGGGCCACATTATCTCATTATGACTTTCATGGACCCTAGCCACTTCTTTGCCTTCATGGATCCTTCTTTGTTTATATATATACGACTGTGTTGTATTAAAATAAACATATTAATATCACATATTTAAATATTTTCTTCAATCTAAAAACTCATACTTTATTCTAATTTTCAAGAAATTAAAAAAATTTTATGGGTCCCTAAAATTATTGTTGGCCCTAAGCACTGTATCCATTGTGTGTAATGGATAGGTCATCCCCAGCACTCATCTCCCGCCAGGTTTGCCTTTTATATGGCATGTAGGGAGAACACAGATGGGATGTCCGGATCTGTGAGTCTGTAAGGTGGTGAGGGATCAGGGAAGATTATTCAGATGGGTTAATAGACCTTACTATTGACCAGGAAATCTCCCAAACTGTTCACCACATCCTTTCAATTCCTCAAGAACGTCTACATTTTTTCTAAACCTCTAAAGTGGCTGAAATACCTAAAAATCCTGACTACAGATTTCAGTTATGCACTTTGTAGCTGTTCAGAGATTCAGTTCAATTTCTGCTAATATTTAGTCCAGAAAAATATGGTATATCATTTGCCTCAAAGCACCTAGGTTTGCTGATAATAAAATAAAGGTATAAGAATGTAGAATTTACACGCAAATAACAGCGAGAGCCCACTATGGTGTATTATTCAATTAGATAGCCATGACTTGCTCTGGGTGACTAAATTTGTGTGCTAGACAGGCAAAAGCATTATATAACTTTTGTGGTATCTCTGCCTTGAGTCTAAGCTTTTGTAACGATTTCATATTGAAGCTGCCTAGTATGAAATGGCTAATGCTCAGTCCTCTCCCTACCTGAAATTTGTGTACCTAACACTGAACTGAAGGGATTTATAGCTAGAATTAGAGACATCCAGTGACTTATGCTTCTGAGTTCCCCTCCCTCATTGGATCAGGGCTTTAGTCTCTATATTAAGTCAAATTGTGATACCTACGTCAAATCCAAGTTGATTCAACATATCTCAAGGTTCCATACCTCTGCAGTAGGTCATAGTTCTATAACCTAAGCAGAAGCAGTGCTGATTTGCCCAAGTCCTGGGAAAATTTGGGCCATCAATTTGTTCTCTTATGTTGCTCTTATCAAACTGTCCTTGTTGAATCAGTTTAGCAACAACTTAGGAATCATGATGATCTTGAGCTGGCCTCTCTAGGCCTCTTTGAGGTTTCCCAGAGCAGGTGGCAGATCCTCTGGGAAACGTCACTACTTTGCAGTATTCCAGAGACAGCTATTTTTATTTTATTCTGTGTAAATGGCACTCTCTGGAATAGTGTTACATACAACTTGTTCAACATACCTAGTGGCCCTGTCTGGGCAAAGTAACATTGCAAACTCCACTGGATGAAGGTGTAAAGCAAGGTGATTGGGTTGCCTGTGGTATGTGGGGTGGGCCAATGATTCATAGTAAAGGCCTTTCAGTGATTATGCCCTGGGTGGCCTATTTTCTTCAGACCTGTAATGAAGACAGGAGTGGGGGAAACTGCTTGGATCAATGAACCACTAAATGCCTGATCAATGAATAGAGGCCAATAATTACAAAATTCTAACACAAAAATTCTATTTGGGTGGCTCTTTGAAAATTGTTACCAGTTACATGGTTTTTTTGTCTACAATCTGAATTTAAAAAAGAAAAAAATAACCTAGCACAAAAATTATCTCTTCACATAAAAAGCCATTTCTATAAAAGGAACACATTTTTTCCCAGATACTAGCTTTAGTAGAGTTATTATAATTACGTATTCCATTTTCAGAGTTTCCTGAAATTTAGGGTAAAAAGAGAAATATTTGTGTTCTTTAATTGTTGTTATCTAATCAAATAAATCATACTAGTTCTTATAGCTATTTTTTGTGTTAAACTCTAAAAGTATAGGGGGACTAGCGGGACAAAGTAGACCATTCCTTTAGTTGCAGGTTTATACTAAATGAAAAATCAATGGGTTTACATGAAGCACTATCATAAGAACTGTAGGATAGACCAAGCTGTAAAAGACAAGGGTATTTCCATCACAGTACTTTCAATCTAGCTAGCATTCAAAGATACATATAGAACACAAGACTATAATTCAAGTTGATACTTTTCTCAGAAGTTGAAATTGAGTAGGTTGGACTGTATAGGAAGTCATTGGAGACAAGGAGTAGATGATGAATGTACTCTTTAAAGTTATTTTAATGGCATAGAATTAAATGGATTGGGCATTGCAAAATCAGTCAAATTCTATGTTGTAGGAGTCACAGATTCTGTTCTGACTGAGAAAACTTGGGTCAGTCAGAAAGCTCAGAGGCCATCTTCTCCGGGCAATGCCCGTCTTATATCCTCATGCCCTTCATCCTTGGAAGTCTCTGTCCTGGAACTTGGATGCTTTATTTTTGGAGAATTTTTTTACCTGGTTTCCTAAGTCATTTGTATTCTCTCATCATCTGTGTTTAATATTATCTTTACAGTGACATGAATAAACAGGGATGGTTGACATTATTTGACTGAGAACAAGAGGATTAAGAATGCCAGATAGTCAAAGCACTGTCCCTCTCGTGCCCTCAAATGAAGCTTTGCCCTGGGTTATTGATACTATGGGTACTTTGGGTCTGCCTTTATTATCTCTAAGTATTCACCCCTTTGCTGTCTCTTACTTCAGGACTATTTCCATCGCTTTTTCATGACCAAGAAGGAGTCACCACTCCTTACCCAGGGAGAACAGATACGGTTCCTGCAGCAGTTCTTCAGTCTGAACGTGACAGGCCTACTAGACAAGCAGACACTGGCTGTGCTGCACCAACCCCGCTGTGGGGTACCTGATGTGGCTTACTACTCTGTCTCTCCAGAAAGACCTAAATGGAATGAGCACACTCTGACCTACAGGTAATTGTTGTTAAGGCCTGGAGGGATGTGCGGAGTGGTTATGTCCAAAGACTTCCTCAGTGTCCCACTTGGGCTATCCCTACTGTCTTTTGCTTTCCCTACCAGTCCCTCTAAAGCCCAAAATCTCCCTCAGAGAAGTTGGTTCTACAAGTTCTCATTTTTTCTTCCTCAAATCAAGCTTTAGAATGTGGAGCTAACCTCTATTCTTATTGAAGTAGGTTGTATATTTTTCCTGTCACCATTCTCAATACTAGCAGTAAACAATAGAAAAAAAAAACACCCTTACTTTGCATATTTTTCCTCCGTAAATATCTATCTTCTATGAATCCACTGGAGCCGTGGTGGTGCAGGGTTAAGAGCTACAACGGCTGCTAACCAAAAGGTCAGCAGTTTGAATCCACTAGCTGCTCTTTGGAAACCATATGGGACAGTTCTACTCTGTCCTATAGAGTTGCTATGAGTCGGAATCTACTCAACAGCAAGTTTTTTTTTTTTAATGAACCCATTATTCTTCTTTTAAGTAAATAATCTATTTTTTCCTAGTTTGAGTGTGTGTATGTATTTAGGGTATGATTTTGAAACATTGTTCCCTGCCTAGGTTACTCTGTTAAGGCTCTAAAACATATTTGAGACATCCAAAGCAAAACAGTACTAAACTATATAGCACACTATTCATTTAAATTGAATTCACATAATTTTTCCCCCGCTTAATTTTCACAATCACCCTGTAGGGCAGTGGTTCTCAAACTTTAGTTAATGTAAGAATAAGATGGTTCTTATTGATTTTTTTAGAAGTCTATGTGTTTCATTTGCTGTCTAAATGTGTTTCATTCCTGGGTTTCTGATTCAGTTAGTCCAGTATTAACTCAATTTTACAGAAGAGAAAAAATAGGCTTAACAATTTAAGCAATTTGTCTGAAAGTACAGTCACTCATTTTTAAAGCTAGGATAATTCCCATAACTCTGGGTTATTCCACCTAAAGATTCCTTCTCTCAGGATTATCAATTACCCATATGGTTTGAAGACATCCACAGTGAAAGATATTATGCATGCAGCAGTTTCCATCTGGAGCAGTGTGACCCCCTTGGTCTTTGAGCAAGTGGAGCATCAAGATGCAGACATCAAGATTTCTTTCTGGACCTTGGGTAAGAACTGGTAGGGGAGGGAGGACATGGCATTCCATGTTAAAGGGCAAAGAGTCCCTCTCCATAAACAAAAACCCAGCCCACATTGGCCAGCTTCTTAAAAACAAACACACACAAAAGAAATCATGCAAAGCAGTTATGGGAATCAATCAGTCTATAATACAGGAAAGATATTTTTAGTTCAGGGTAGCAGTAGGTAGGAGGGAGGGTGCACTGTGACTGTGAACAGATGAGAGAGGAGGAATTGCACATATTCTTATCAAAAGGGAGCTGTGAAACCCTCAAAGGTGTTGAAATGCTATTTGAAGTGATCTCATCTTTTTATAAAAATTGGCAGAGTTTAAATTTCCTTTCCTCCATTCCCTCCCATTTTGGGAAGAGATTTTTGTGTCTAACCTGTAAATTTCATTCAGTCTCTGTCATATAACCCATTTCTCTGTTACCACAGACGATGGAGTGCAGTTAGATTTTTGTCCTACCGCATTCCTTTGCTATGAATCAGAATCTACTCAATGGCACAAAACAACTATTCCTTTGCATAGATGGTGCCTTAGCCCTTCCTCAACCCCTCCACCCAGATGCACAGTACCCTCAAGCACTGAAAGTTAGTTATAATCACCCCTGTCCCTAGCCTCCCTGCCCTCATTGTGACCATAGCTATCTGTCCTTCACAGCTCATGGAGATGGTTTGCCCTTTGACGGACCAGGTGGTGTTTTAGGCCATGCTTTTTTCCCACATTCTGAGACTCCAGGAGTTGTCCACTTTGATAAGGATGAACATTGGTCAACGTCATACAGGGGTAAAGATTCTGTCTGATGGGAGGGTAAGAACTGCCTGGGGGGCTGGGGGTAGTGGTTGATGGTCTCCATTCAGATCTGGGATACAGTAAGAAGGAGAAAGGAAGGATTCAGAGTGGTCAGGGTGAGTCGGGAAGAGTTTGCTGAGGATTAGGTTCTCCTGTATGAGTGGGGTGAGGTAGGGTCATTTATGAACACAGATGCTCTTATAATAAACAAATCCTCATTTGTGCTTTTTTCTTTCCTTCTTTCTCTGCTTCCATTTATCCATTTCTCAATTCTCTCCATGCTTCTTCTTCACTTTCAGTTTCTCTCTCTCTATATTTAGCTATCCGGATTCACACTTATCCTCTTTCCCTCCCTGCTTATCTTTTCTTCCCTCTATTTGTTATTTCCTCCATTCCTGTTCTCTCCTTTCTTCTCCTTTCTTTCTCACACACCCTCTCCCTTCCCTACTCATAGATATTTTTTTTTCCTTTTGTATGCATCCTTCTAGGGATTAATCTATTCCTGGTTGCTACTCATGAGCTAGGTCACACTCTGGGCCTGTATCACTCTGGGAATCCAAACTCCATAATGTACCCCACCTATGAGTACAAGGACCCCAGAACCTTCCACCTCAGTCTTGAAGATATCCGAAGAATCCAACACTTGTATGGTCTGTGCCTGTGGGAAGGAAGGGGATCTGGGCAGGAAATTGCACTTGGAATTTACTCATTTTTTCCTACTATCCTCACAGGGAGAAAAAGAACATGATTTTCTAAAATGCCCTAATGCTGGTACAGAGACTCACTCAACCTGGTCTTTCCATGGCTTCTTTAGAGGAACAAAGAACTCATGGCATTAAAGCAGCCTTGGGAACTGCTAGAATTGAGTCCTAAAGAAGGGCACCTAGTCAGGATAGCTGAGCCAATCTCAGAACATTTCTGGGTCACAATAAAGATGATTGATTTTAAAAGTAATTTTTGTTCTCACTATTTGGTGTATTTAAGCATTTGATATGTCCAACCCCTGTGATCAAGGAAAGAGAAAAGAATGTACTAGAGTGGGGAACTCGAGCAAAGATAGCCATTGAACTCTAGAGTTAGCTGCAAGATAACAAAATATTAGAAATAAACCTTTTGTGAGTTACTACCGCATGGGTAGAGTTTAAGGAATGTTATCATTTATGCTATGTTTAAAATTGCAGCTATAAGAAACCAACTGTTAGACTTGATGATTTATCCACTTATTAGCTGAAATGTTTAAAAAATATAATTTATAATTAAAAATGTCTACACAAATAGTTTCAAAAATGACAAAAATGGAAATTTGAATTGTCCTATAAGTCTTAACTATCAAAGCTCTCATTAAAAACCACTCCTATATGACACCTCCTTAGCAAACCAGAAATAGAAATACCATACAATCCAGCAATCCCACTCCTAGGAATATATCCTAGAGGAATAAGAGATGTCACACAAATAGGCATATGCACACTCATGTTCATTGCAGCATTATTCATAACACCAAAAAGATGGAAACAACCTAAGTGCCCATCAACAGATGAATGATAAACAAGTTATGGTACACACACACAATGTAATACTATGAAACTGTAAAGAACAATGATGAATCTGTAAAACATCTCACAATGTGGATGAATCTGGAGGGCATTATGCTGAGTGAAATAAGTCAATCACAAAAAGACGAATATTGTATGAGACCACTATTATAAAAACCCAAGAAAGGGCTTACATACAGAAAGTAAACAATTTTTGATGGTTACAAAGGAGGGGAGGGATGGGGAGGGGAAGCCACCAACTAGATAGTAGACAAGTGTTAACTTTGGTGAAAGAAAAGACAATACACAATAAAGGGTAGGTCAGCACAACTTGACCAAGGCAAAGCCATAGAAGCATGCTAGACACATCCAAAAACCTTGAGCCATCAAAGTAATGGGGATGAGGGCTAGGGAACATGGTCTTGGGGGCATGGCATAACATAGTTCATAAAGAAAATGTTCAACATCCTACTTTAGAGAGTACTGTCTGGGGTCTCAAAAGGTTGTGAGTGGCCATTTAAAATACATCTATGGATCCCATCACATTTAGAGCAAAGGAGAATGAAGAAAACCAAAGACACAAGGAAAATATCAGTTCAAAGGACTAATGGACCACATGAAACACACTTTCCACCAGCCTGAGCCCAGAAGAACTAGATGGTGCCCTGCTAGCACCACTGACCACTCTCATACAGATCACAGTAGAGGATTCCTTACAGACAGGGAGAAAAATGTGGAACATATTTCAGATTCACAGAAAAAGACTAAACGTACTGGTCTGATAGGGACTGGAAAAACCTCAGAGACTATGGGTCCTGACACCCTGCTAACTTAGAAATGAAGCTACTCCCTAAGTCTACCTTTCAGCCAAAGATTAGATAGGCCTATAAAACAAATATGTAGCCCTAGTGGGGAGTGGTTAAGAGCTTGGCTGCTAACCAAAAGGTAAGCAGTTCAAATTCAAGAGCTGCTCCTTGGAAACCCTGTGTGGCAGTTCTACTCTGTCCTACAGGGTCGCTATGAGTCAGAACTAACTTGATGACACCTAACAACAACAACAACATAAAACAAATAATAACACTTAATTCAACAAAGTATACGAGAGCAAACGGACAACATCCGCCCAAAAGCAAATAGGAGAAGGCAGGAAGGGGCAGGAAAACTGGACAAATGGACACGGGTAACCTGAGGTGTAAAGGGAAAGTGGTAGTGTGCTGATGCATTGTGGGGATTGCAACCAATTTTACAAAACAATTTTTGTATAAGGTTTTGAATGAGAAACTAATTTGCTGTCTAAACGTAAAAAGACATTAAAAAAAAAAAACATTGCTATATGTCCGTTTAATAAAGAAATCATGACAACACATATACAGGCAGTCCCTGAGTTATGAAGGTACAACTTATGTACAACCTGTGGTTACGAACCAATCCCTGAAAAGCCTATTATATTAAAAATTTGAGGTACGTACAATGCTTCATAATAACAAACGGGAGCTACTTTGCATCGAACATCAAAACATTATTATATTTATTCCTATGTTACTATACTAAAGATGTTTTAGTGTATCTAGAAGTGTCTCTTTAATGTTTTTTTATACAGGTACACCATATACTATATACTAAGACAAACATTTGACTAACTGATGTTAGATAGGAACTGTACCTAACTGTTTTGACTTATGTACAAATTCGACATAAAGACAAACTTAGGAACAGATCTCGTTCTTAATCTGGGGACTACTTGCACAAAATCTTCTAGAGGAAAAAATAAAAAGAAATATTTCTTAAATTATTTTTCAGCTCTGCATGACCTTAATAACAAAACATGACAAAGATATTATAAGTAAGAAAAATTTTAAGCCATTCTCACTAAAGAACATAAAAAGTATTAGCAAATCAAATCTGGCAATAAATAAGGGGGAGTAACCCACTTGGCTTTATTCCAGAAAAGCAATGTTTATATAGCATTTAAAAATAAATCAATATAATTCATCACATTGACAGGATAATGAAGGAAAATTATATGCCCATCTGACTGGATTCAGAAAATATTTTATAAAATTGAGCATCTTTTGTTGATAAAAAACTCTTAGTAAATGAGCAATAGAAGGGAACAATATTTTCTGTAAAGGTAGTTACAAATAATCCTATAGCAAATATGCTTAATGGTCAAAAGTTGAAAACTCTACCTGTGTGGTCTGTAATGAGACAAGAATGCTACTTTCATCACTTCTGCCCAACATTTTACTGTAGGTTTTAGCCAATTAAAAAAAAAGCAGTAAATATAATCAAGATATAAAGTTGAAAAGAAGTGGGAAAGAAACTGGCATTACTTACAGAGACATGATTTGCTAAAAATAAGGCCTAAAGAGTCTACAGATCACCTATTAGAAATAAAAGTAAGTTTATCAGTTTTTTGGAAAAAGATAAAAATATAAATTGATTTTATTTTTATATACCAGTTGCAAAGATTTTTAAAAAGAAAAATTATAAGTACTATTTACATTAGCATAAATTAATAGCAAATATGTAAGAATGAGTCTATTTTGCAATATATTACACAATATTTCTACACAGAAAACCATAAAATAATATTGAGAAAAAATTTAAAAGACCTATATTCTTGGATTGCAAGATTTGGTCTTCTAAATATTTCAAATCCCCAAATTGATCTATAGATTCAATACACTCTCAATAAAAGTCCAAGAATATATCTTAATGGGAACTGATAATCTATTTTTAAATTTATAAACACAAAGAGGTAGGCTAAGTAAGCTATCAATTTAAAAAAATATATATATACTGGAAGGCCATGCTCCGTGCTAAGCACAGTGGGAACAGTGATGAACTAGAAAATGTTTTTTGCCTTTACAGTGCTTGTATGGAGCTTTGAATACTGTTCTTGCTTAATATAAATAGCTACTAAGCAAATGAATAATGAGCAATCCTGTTCTCTGGGAAGTGGTAAATGCCTATAACAGGGCCCTCACTACACTTCATTACCATGTTTTCTAGGGATGCCACTAATAAAGGCTAAAATTTCAATATTCTTGTGAGTCAGAATAGTTTTCATGAGTTCATTCTCTTATGTCCATTTGAGAAGTGAAAATTGTAACACTTGAAAGAAAGAACTGAGAGTGGTAGATGGAAATAGGGACATAGTTGTATAATTTCCAGGATAGTGATTTCTATAATTCCCAGGATTGTGATCATATGCCCTTCGCACAGCTGTAGTGCATGCTGTTTACTTTCCCTTCATCTCTGGAGATCTTGCAGACTCTGACGCAGATCCCTAACTATATGACCCAGGAAAAACTGGGGGTATTAAGAGTTGGCCCCTGGCCTTGTTCTGACTCATGATATTGAGATTCTCCGTCTTCTCTTTCCACAGGTGTAGTCAATTTGATTCCTGTGTATTCCGTCTGGTGAGGTCTGCTTGTATAGTTGCTGTTTATGTTGTTGAAAAAAGGTATTTGCAATGAAGAAGCCGTTGTCCTTGCAAAATTCTATCATGCTGTCTCCTGAGTCATTTCTATCACAAAGGCCATATTTTTCAGCTACTAATCCTCCTTCTTTGTTTCCAGTTTTTGCATTCTAATCACCAGTAATTACCAGTATATCTTGATGGCATGTTTGATCAATTTCTGACAGCAGAAGTTGGTAAAAAATCTTCAATTTCTTCACCTTTGGCATTAGAGGTTGGTGCGTAAGTTTGAATAACGGAGGTATTAACTAGTCTTCCTTGTAGGTGTATGGATATTATTCTATCACTGGCAGCGTTGCACTTCAGAATAGATCCTGAAATGTTCTTTTTGATGTTGAATGAGATGTCATTCCTCTTCGTTTGTCATTCCAGCATAGTAGACCATATAATTGTCCAATTCAAAATGGCCAATACCAGTCCATTTCAGCTCACTAATGCTTAAGATACTGATTTTTATGCCTTCTATTTCATTTTTGACCATTTCCAATTTTCCTAGATTCATACTTTGTACATCCATGTTCTGATTATTAATGAATGTTTGCAGTTGTTTCTTCTCATACTGAGTTGTACCACTTCAGCAAATGAAGATTCTGAAAGCTTGACTCCATCTACATCATTAAGGTGGACTCTACTTTGAGGAGGAAGCGCTTCACCAGTCGTGTTTTGAGTGCCTTCCAACCTGAGGGTCATCTTCCAGTAGTATATCAAACAATGTTCCACTGTTATTCA